CCTTAGGTTTTAAAAAGACAGATTTGGAGAAATGGGTGCTGGGAAATGTTTAAAAGTGAATCTTGAAGACATATCAGATTTGCATTAATAATAATAATAATCCCTCAGTTCTTGTGGGTTTTTTTCGGGCTATATGGCCATGTTCTAGAGGCATTTCTCCTGACGTTTCGCCTGCATCTATGGCAAGCTTCCTCAGAGGTGAGGTCTGCTGGAGCTGGGAAAAAAAGGGGGTTTATATATCTGTGGAATGATCAGGGTGAGACAAAAGGCTTTTGTAAGTGGGCTAGGTGTGAATCTTTTCAACTGACCACCTTGATTAGCATACAATGGGCTGACTGTGCCTGGAGCAAACTCTTCTTGAAAGGTGATTAAATGTCCCTGCCTGTTTTTCTCTCTGTTTGTAATTTTAGAGTTTTTTAATACTGGTAGCCAGATTTTGTTCATTTTCATGGTTTCCTCCTTTCTGTTGAAATTGTCCACATGATTTGTGGATTTCAATGGCTTCTCTGTGTAGTCTGACATGGTGGTTGTGAGAGTGGTCCAGCATTTTTGTGTTCTCAAATAAATTGCTGTGTCCAGGTTGGTTCATCAGGTGCTCTGCTATGGCTGATTTCTCTGGTTGAAGTAGTCTGCAGTGCCTTTCATGTTCCTTGATTCGTGTTTGGGCGCTGCGTTTGGTGGTCCCCATGTAGACTTGTCCACAGCTGCATGGTATACGGTAGACTCCTGCAGAGGTGAGAGGATCCCTCTTGTCCTTTGCTGAACGTAGCATTTGTTGGATTTTCTTGGTGGGTGTGTAGATTGTTTGTATGTTGTGTTTCCTCATCAGCTTCCCTATGCGGTCAGTGGTTCCCTTGATGTATGGCAGGAACACTTTTCCTCTGGGTGGATCTTCATCTTTACTCTCGTGGCTTGTTCTTGGTCTTTCAGCTCTTCTGATGTCTGAGGTGGAGTATCCATTGGCCTGGAGAGCCCAGTTTAGGTGGTTCAGTTCATCTTGGAGGAGGTGGGGTTCGCAGATTCTTTTTGCACGGTCTTCCAAGGCTTTAATGGTGCTTCTTTTTTGACTTGGGTGATGGTTGGAGTTTTTATGTAGATATCTATCTGTGTGTGTGGGTTTTCTGTAAACGGTGTGACCCAATTGTTGATCTGGTTTGCGGATGACTAGGACATCTAGAAAAGGCAGTCTTCCTTCCTTTTCTTTTTCCATAGTGAACTGGATGTTAGGGTGGATGCTGTTAAGATGTTCCAGGAACCTGTTGAGTTCTTCTTCTCCATGGCTCCAAATGGTGAAAGTGTCATCCACATATCTGAACCATATCGTGGGCTTTTTGGTTGCTGTTTCAAGAGCTTGTTTTTCAAATTGTTCCATGTAGAAGTTAGCTATGACTGGGCTGAGAGGGCTCCCCATAGCTACCCCATCTTTCTGTTCGTAGAATTCATTGTCCCACTGAAAATAGCTGGTGGTGAGGCAATGGTGAAACAGCGCCGTGATGTCTTCTGGGAACCTCTGGTTGATGAGTGCCATGGTGTCTGCAACTGGGACCATGGTAAATAGAGACACCACATCGAAGCTGATCAGTTTGTCATTTGTATTTAGCTTGAGATTGCTGATTTTTTCAATGAAGTGGGCTGAGTCCTTGATGTAGTGTGTTGTGAGCCCAATGTGGCTTTGTAACTGTGCAGCAAGAAATTTGGCTAAGTCATATGTGGGGGACCCAATGGCACTCACGATTGGTCTGAGTGGGGTGGAGTCCTTATGGATTTTGGGGAGTCCATAAAGCCTGGGTGGAAGGGCTTCCGATTTACATAGCTGCTGTCGTATGTCGAAGTTGATTGAGGAGTTTTTAATAAATGTACAAATTATGAACAAATAAATAAATGTACAAATTAAATAAATGTACAAATAAATGTACAAATTAAAAACTCCTCAATCAAGATCTTTCTTCCAAGTCATGTTGACACCTTTATGGATATGAGAATGGAATACTTGTGACAGTCAGGAACTTGCATTCTGCTCTGTGTCTGTCTGGGAGTGCAACACTCAAAAGATGAGGTGACGGGACAATGGGGCTAATCAGTCTCAGACCAGCTGGACCATGTGGATATCAACCCAGAACTGTGGGGATTTTGATAAGATGCATATATTCACCTCTGGGATCGCACCAGAACATTTCAGCTCTTGACTGGTGACAAATTAGTTGGCCAGTGTAGATTCACCCTAGGTTAGGCATTTGTAATTGTGATTATGAATTCCAACATGAATCTATAAAATCTATTTTGCTGGACCACATTAATCTAGCTCTAATCCAGTCCAGTTTTCTATCAATTTCAAGTGTGCATCTCAAAATAGCACCAACGATATGCAATAGCTCTCACTTCTAAAAGAAGTTTTCTTACCTTTGATGAGAAAAGAACCCAAACTTTTATTCATAAATATCAATAACATAGTATTAACATAGCACATGGAAGATCAAGTAATAAATAGTGCTAACCTTTTAAGGAAAACCACAAGGGAAGTGTTTGGAATATGATCCTGTTCAAAATCTTCTTTCTCCTTTGTTTAGCAGTGTATTGTGTATTGTTAATTTCATAAGTCTAGGAGTTTGAGGGGGAATGTTAGAGGAGAATACATTGACATTTGCTTTTATTAACCAATATTCTTTGTTTTGAGAATAACACTTTTAAATGTATTCAAAATAAACATATTGTATAAATCAAAATAAAAATTCCTACTGGGAAATAATACAGGAATAATTTCATTTTTATTATTAATTTACTTTTGAATGCACTGTAAGAAAGCCAGTTGCATAGTAGCAAATTATAGAGGACGTGTGTGTGTGTGTGTGTGTGTGTGTGTGTGTGTGTGAATGGATACTGATTGTGTTTTGGAAATCCACGTCAGTTATCTAGCTTCCCATTTCAATTTCCAATAAAAACAGGACTAAAAATCTCAAGATCATCCAGACAAAATAGCCACTGATTGGTGGATTCTTACAGCTAATTGCTCATAAAATTTTCAAGCTCTAGATATATCTGCCTGCCCTTTAGTAATTAATAAAGGGTCTCAGAAATAATGATGTGGGAATGTGTGTATTTTAGCACTACACATATGTTTACCTATACATTGATCTGATGTGAAATTTTTATGAATTAAAAATCAAAATTTGAAGTTTGAATTGCTGTATCTTTTCAATTTCATTCTTTCTCGTGTTCATTTTTTTACATATCACTTATGAAGAAATTTGTAAACTCTGGAAGATTCATATCCAAATTATTTTCAAAAATTACATTTTCACCATCCATAATATATATGAAGACATCAACTGTGACAACAGCACATCATTATAGCATTTTTTTCAGTTCATAGGAAACAATATCCTTGCTACTGTTTTCATATATCAAAAAGTAATTCATATCTAGTACTTTATCCATAATGTACAACAAAACATTTCTGATAACATTTGGATCAAAAATAATAACTTTTTGGCTTCTTACAAATCTACTACATATGGAAAAAAAAGGAGTCCTCCTTATCTTGACACCGTTACATCACCATTGCTGTTTGATAGTGTATTTGGCAGTAAATGCTATCTGTACCTCAGCTTATGAAAAGAAAATTCAGTTTTTCTTTTAAATTAGGAACAAATTGTATATAATTGGACCATATTTTCCCGATATATCAATATGGACACAATGTTCAATTTTTCCTCGTTTTCAATGTCTATTTTAATTTCTTTTTAGACTTTTTTCATAGTTATTTTATAAACTGTTGTTTATAAAATCCTCTTAATCCTCTTTTTCCACATTAAATTTAAAAGAACAGCTAATTAATTTTCATCTGCTGAGATTACAGTTCAAGTCAGCAATTTTGTTTAATGACAATTCACTTTAAACCAAGGAGCAGTACAAAACACCCTTTTCCCCAGAAGAATAATTGCTGAATTCAATGGGTTTTGTGTCATTATCACAAGCTGAGCTCTCAACTTACACTGTTCTTTATTTTCCCTTGCCCCACAAATTCTGCCTTCTCTGATATCTCTTAGTATCCTCAAATATTTCTAACATATGAAAATCTAGGCAAATATGTCAGAACTTATAAAGTGAAATAATTATCAGATCTTTCTAGAGAAATCTATAGGGGGGAAATTTCCACTGATTTTTTATACAATTAACTCTTTTAAAGTCAATGAAAAGCATTCTGTATATAATGATCCAACTATTGATTGTCCAACAGTGAAGTTAAGGCAAATCAACTCATTCTGAGCTGTCTCTTAAATGGAAATTATGAATATAAATGACCATGAAATGATGAGTCAGACATAATCTCATTGATGAGAATTACTTCAATCCAAATTGCAGAGTGGGCTCAAAAATTATAATTAGCCATTCCTTATTTTCCATTTTAAAATTTGCTTCATTTATTCTTTTTGTTTTATTTTTTCAGGCACATTGGTTCAGCTGTTCAATGGAGTTAAGTCACTTGGAATCCAGTAAATCATTCTAAATAAATTTATCTTCCAGGGAATAACAATACAGGCATACCTTAGTTAACAAAGCATCTGACAAAGAAGGTCCTTTTTCCAAAGTGAAATGAAACTGATTGTTTCATTTCACATGTACATAATGTTCATTTTGTGTGAAAGGTTTGCCTATATATGCTGAACTGCTCTCCTGTTTTGTGGGGTGGGAACTGATACCTCATCTGTGTGCATTACTTTTGCCTCTGGTACCACATTTTCTCTAATGCCCAGGAATACACCTACTTTATTAAGTGAGGTGTACCTGTACAGGTACCACAATTATTGCATTAAATTTTGAGCAAGAATAATGTGTACATTGTAACCAACTCAATGCTGTTTTGTACATCTTCATTTTGTACATCTCAATTAGAAAGATGAACAAAATGGGAATGGAGATGTACAAAAATATATGATGGGTGTAATAAAATAAAGAAGAATATCCAACCAACTGTTTTCAGTTTCCTCATGTACAGATGCATCCGTTACTAGTTTCTTGAGTATAATCCAAGAAACACTGAGGAAGTTTGATGATACAGTGATGGTCAACTACAATCAAACAAAAGATTGGAAACATGAATTGTCCATCATTTCTCTGGTGAAGATCATGAGCTTCCCTGAAACCCAAACACTTTTTATGGGAATTATGATGAGAAAGGACCTGTGTCAAAGTAGAGTCCAGAGGCTCAATTATAAACACACACTGAGAAATGCAAAAAGTAAATTGTGACATATTTGACTGGACCTATATAGGGAGAAGTGATTTCAAAAAGCAAGGATCATAAGCTGTTGATATCCACTGTCAGAAAAGAGATTTCCAGACAGCTTGATGCTTATACAAAGGCAGTCTTTTGGTTCATCTGGCAGTGTTGTTTACACATCTATGCTCTACTCTGCTCCTGTTTTTCGGCAGGAATCATTCTGGGTTGTGTCTGGAGATGCTAGGAATTGAACCTTCTGGATGAAAAGCATGTGCTGAAATCTGTGTGTGTTTATATGTCTTCAACTCACCTGTCAATTTATAGGAATCATATCCTGTTATCAGGTTTCAACCCATGCAAAGCTGTTAGTGAGGAAGCAATTTATTTCAAGCTTCTGTGGATATTACCAGTTTTTCAGTAAATAAAACTGTGATTTCTTAGTTTGTTCAGTAGGGTGTATCTGAGACTTCAGTGAACAACCACAAGAGAAAGTTTCTAGAGCCTGAGATTAATGGTTGAACTTTGCTCCTTAGTTTCTGAAATCACTGACTAGTCTATACATTAATCTTTTTAGGCGAAATCAATTTTCAAATCTTTATAACTCAAATCTGTCTCGTGATGTTTTGTATTGATGTTGTTCACCGCTTTGAGTCGCCTGAGGGCTGAGAAAAGCAGTATATAAATAAAGTAAATAAATAAATAAATAATAAACCTGGGATTTTGACTAGATAATATTATCTTATTCTGTTTTTCAGTGTCCTGGCTGTGCTAGGATCTTAGTTAGTTGCCTTCCTTATCTTGGCAGTGTTCAGCCAGGAATGCTCCCAGACACATAAAAGCAAAGTTCAATGGGACAAAAAAAAGAGAAGTAATATTTTCATCTTTAAAATCAATCTTTTAGAATTCTCCCAAAACATTGCAGTTTCCCCAAACTGTCTCTGCTTTCTCTAGATTAAGGGAAATATTTTATCACCCTTACTTTTAAAACTCTCGCTTGTTCTCACCTTTCCTTCCTTTTAGCAATTCCTATATTTTCACATTGCTTACTCCCAAACCCTCACATTCTTGAAAGTTCTCCCATTTTGAGTTAGTATCTCAACAGTCTAAAGTAGCTGCATTCTATTTTACATGTACCATTTGCCACTTAAGAAGCACTACTATAATTCTCTATGTGTCCAATACAATTCCCTTTTAAAGATCCGTAAGTTATTCGGTCTAATTTGTCTAAGATGCACTATTGGCTAAAATCCCAAGATTCATTTCTGATTCATTTCTGATTTCTAAGGCCATACCTGGTGATTATGCCAGTGTAGTACATTCTTCTAATTCTTGGGAAACACCATAATAAAGGCTACGGTGACTGATTTCTTGCCTTGACTAATTCACTTTGCATTTTGGTGTTCCATTCATCATTGTTAGAAACACTGGGCGTGTAATAAAAGCTATTCAAGCGTGTTGCTTTGTTGTTTAATAGTCAGCATGATATATAATAATTAATTCTTAAACCTTGTTAACAGCATTTTCTACAGAAGATATCTGTGAGTGAGACAGGTCCCTTAGCACGCAATATGGCATGGAAATAGACTGAGAATGATTTGCTGACAACAAGGAGGCAATATAATAATTTGCAACTAAAACAATTAACACCCTAAATGTTAAGCACTCTGTTCTTCTTGGCAGCCCTCATAATAATACATCACATCATGAGGGCTGAGTAAACTAGTGAATGATACCAATTAGATTGTATAAGACAAAGATTGCTCAGCCTGATACAAATATCCATGTATACCCCATCCTTTTGTACTAGCTGTTATACAACATTTGTCAATCAACATTTGCTTTCTTTCTAGGCATGTTAATAGAGCCAAGAGAGGATGGTAGCCTGCAGTGATCAACAGCTAGCTAAGAAAGGTTTCCTGCCAAACACTGTAAATGAAATTATTCCCCAGCAAGGGAAGAGTGGACTGGCATTGTTCCCTTTCCTCTAAAGTCCATGTGCAATTGTTTCAGTAACAAAAATTACACAGTCTCATTCTGTCAACACCAAATAAATAGTCTGATAGAAGCTAACATCCTGAGCTCAAACCAGGAGATTATTGGTGCTACGGAGAAAGGTATCACGTATGTCAGTAAGGTTCTTAATCTGCATTTCAGGAGCTGCTCATCAGACCTTGTAATCAACAGAAATGTATGCAAACGCTGGAGGGTCCAGGGAACAGCCTGTGAAGGTATTCTGAGCCCTAGAAACAAAGCTATATGTAGGATGTATTTTATGAATAGGATGTTGGGTGGCTTTTGACTAGATAAGCCATGCAAACAACTGGCTCTGTTAATCGTATGGATCTGGGAATATATGTAGTACAAATAACTGGACACATTATGCCAAGAAAAACCTATGATATGTTCATTATAATGTCGCAATAAGTTAGGAATTATTTGAAAGCACACAACATCAAAAATTAACATAGCATTTTGGTATTGTTCTTCTACTCTTGTAACTTTCTCACACAGAAACATGAACACCAGCAGAATCTGTTAAAAGCTAACCTGGGCAAGTTATTCACACTTTGCTACTTTCCGTGTAACTCTTTTGAATATAAAATTTTATATATTTGGCTACTTCTTAGAAGGTATTATAAGAAGAATCCAGAATTAATTATTTATTTTAAAATGCTGATTCCAGGATCTTGATTTGAACTACTACGATGAAGTGAGCAATTCTCTTGCTACATCATCATCAACATTTTGGTAACCACATTTATGTCCCGGTAGAAGGCTAATATTTTCAGTGCTTCCATTGCCTGATGGGCTCCAGGCTACAAGAATCAAGAAGGTTCCACTGCCACTGTAATAGATGCATAAGTCAATTGTATGCATATACAATCAGAAGTCATTCTGTACTAACAATCTTTGTGATAACCAGCAGTCACTCTGACATGAAACTAATGCAGATGATTTAATAGTAGACAAAATTGAGAGGTGCTGCTACTTAGAGTCCTATGCCACTGTTACCAGGCCATATAATACAAAGGACCCATGATTTGTGACATTGACACACCACTTCCTTCCTAATTCCAAATATACTGAACATGTCTAACTTAATCAGAAGTTGCTGACATTGGCTTTATTGGGGCAGGAAAAAATCTGAATAATTTGTGAACCCTGTGCTATGAAGAGCCTCCCCTGAGCATCCAGAATAAAATAGTGTTAAATTTTTTTTGAAATATATGATATACCTTTCTAATATAGAGCAAAAATGGTAAATAGGACTGTTATCAGCACTTTTAAACTTGCTGTACCTATGACGCTTTATATCTGATCAGTTTGAATATTAACACAGTTGTAGATATAGATAAGACATGAATTATTACAGGAATAGTATCATTCTTATAAGCAATTTCATATGAACACTTATAATGACAAAACTTTTATATGTGGCTGACCTTTTAATCTTCCTATAAAAGAGGTGTATAAGAAACATACTCTCTGAAAACTTTAAATAATGAAAAGTACCTTCTCATGTGCAATACATTTGCGGCACTCAGATCTGATGTGTGATAGTAAGGGAAATATTAGGGCTGGGCGGTTTCGTTTCGTTAATTCGTAATTCGTTAAAAATTCATTATTTTTTTTATAACGAAGCGATAACGAACCATTCTGGAGCAACTTAAAAATGAAATGAATTTTTAAATTCGTTTCGTAAATGCTTCGGATTCGTTATGTATTCGTTTCGTTATCGGTTTGAGGTCGTTTCGTTATTATTTCCGCATGTCTGGGGCAAGTTTTATAGTTGTTTTTTGTTTAATTAGTGAAAAAAAATTATAATATCACACCAACAGTCAACAACAGAGGGAGAGGGAAGCTTCAGAAGTTCCCCCTGTCCCATTTGGAGGTTTTTTAGCATATTGCGCGGTCGCGTCCGCCATTAACGAATCGATTCGTTATTGTTTCGTATTTGTTTCGTTAATGTTTCGTAATTTTTTTTAACATTTACGAAATTTCGTAAATATCGAACTTTTTAAAAGAAAAATTTCGGAATTCTTTTAAATATCGAAACGCAAAAAACCCCCAAAAAACGAATCGATTTTAGAAACAAATTTTTCCGTTGTTACCCAGGCCTAGGAAATATGCAGTACAAGTAGAAGTGTATCAGAATACATATATAACATATATTCATTGTAAGAAGTTGAAAAGATTATGTTTATATAGACGGAGTGCCATTTGACAGCTTTAATCAGTATGCATCTCTTCACATCACTGTTTAAATGTCAAAATCATCTTCAGAGGTCTCATCAGAACAAAAGCAGTATTTAAATTGTAAATGAAAGGCTCCAAATTATGCAAACCATAATTGTTCCCCCAAATATCTATGCGCACATGCACACACTCACATCTCCACATTATTTGGTTGCCAATCAGTTTCCAGGAAAAATATAAAGTGTTGGTTATTACCTTTAAGCCCTACATGGTTTGGATTCAAGTTATTCGAAAATGTTCTTCTTCCCATATAATCTGTTCCATATATTTAGGTCCTCTGGGCGGACATTTACTAGATTGGAAACTGTCACCAAGAAGGCCTTTTCATCATTTTATAGGTATGGATGATTTAAATGTGTTTTAAGTGTTTTTAACCTATGTTTCATATTTGTTTTATTGTTTTATGTTTTTAGTTATCTATTGTATTTAAATTTTATGAGTATGTTATACACCTCTTTGAGCCTTGGAGAGAGTAAGTGCTCTCTCCAATTACTATAATCATCATCATCATGATTTAATACAAAATATGTTCATTTTAAATTCTAAATTTTAAAAATGCTAAATTGTTGTTGCTTAGATACATAGGGCACAAAACACTGACTTTAAAGTGAACGTTCTTTTTCTTAGCCAAGAAAAGGTATCCTTGATTTGACCAAATTAAATTAAAAATGCTTGTGAAGCCATATAATGTTTATGCTGAAATCAATCATTCCTACTGAAACTTTAGCCATATATTTAGTGTCCAATTGTTGTTGGGGGTTTGTGTTGTGTGTGTGTGTGGGGGGGGGGGGGGGGGGGGGGGGGGTTGCTGCCATTTATTTTGAGGAGTCCATGCTTATCCTGTTAATAGCTTAGTTCAGTCTTCTATTTTCTGTCCTAATCTCCATTATATGTAACAGGCTGCAAAAGTGCTCCTCTCTTTGGATGTAACTATATAGACACTAAACCACTCGCTAGTAAATCATATAGATCTGGTCCTCCGTATGTCAGTCTGATGGACCAAGATGTATGCTGGCTAGGACTAATGGGAGATAAAGTAAAACAAGTAGAAGAAGGCCACATACTCTGCATCCAAGCTTAAACCCTAGATATGTAAGCTTTTTCAGCTAATGCATGCACACTTTGTGTGTAATAACAGGTTTTTTTTCAAATCACTTTATCACATGGGGAAGCCCCTCCCCCCCCCCCGACCACCATTTCACCATTGAAGTCATCACAACATGGGAAGGACTTTGTGTTTGAAGAAAGCATCCAAAGATGCTTCCACCTGGTTGGGGGTGTGCCCTCCACCGGAAGCCACACAGCATCATGTGATGGCTGGCATAGGGCTCCATCCCCGAAGAAGGCTTGAAGCATCCTAGGATGCTTATTTTAGACTGTGATGAGGTTGTGAGTTTGCAAATTGAATATAATTCTATACCATGGTTATTACTATTAGCCATTAGTATGACAATTGTCATGTTGATGTGTTGATTCCATATGAGTCAGATAGTAATATTTAGCCATTGCCTAAAAGAAAAGGGAGCAAATGCTTTTACAAAGGATTTTTCATTCTTCTAAATTTGAATATTTCCCTGACTGCCAGTGTGAGACTTTGATGTGTTCAAAAAAGACAGATCTAGTGTTTCTAAAAGATTTAGCATTAAGCAAGGTGTCTGCCCATACAACCCTCTGGTCTTAGAAGAGAAATAGTGAAGAAGCAATTGGCACTTGACCTTTACTTATTCATGTGAAGATAAAATAGCCTGAGTGGTGAAATGACCAGACATAGAAGAAGGATGAACTGAGTACTAAGAAACAAAGCTAGTGCTGAATCAGCCTCAGGTTCTGAAATGATGTTAGCTATCTTTCAGACCAGAACAGAAGACATGATGCACTCGACAAAGATCTGTCTGCAAAGGTAAGTAGACCTATCAAATGATATGAAAAGGTTCCTTCTCCAGGGCCACAGAGTTCTAAGAGTATCACCTTTGGAAAAAGCTGTATAAGATCTTCAAGTATGGGCTGGAGAGGCCACATGCTGCTAGCCTCATAACAAGTCAGTGCAGTTCTTTTCCCTTTTCTTGTCTACTTCAATGAGCAGGGGCTAGTTTTATTGTTCAGCAAGCAGCATGTGGCATGTGAACCATCCTACACTGCAGGAAATATTTTGCAGACACTGCATGATAAAATTACCAAGTGCCTCTCTTTGTCCTTGGGCTTATTTCCTCTAATCACGGGCCAGAGATGTTACATTTTGAAAAGGAAAGGCTATATCTTCTAGTGCCAGTTTGCAATTTTACCTTGTGTATCATCGCTTACATTTTTCCTAAGAAAACATCGTTCAACATTCCTGTGCTATCCTCCTGTCTTATTTAAAATTTGTAAATAGCACAAGAACAAACAAACATCTGATATTGGTTTGCCCTTATCCCTCCTGTACACAGGTAAAACAAAAGAACAAAGAGTGTTATATGTCTCTGGGTCTCCAGCCACCTGCCTGCTCCAGGATAAGTTGAAGTGGCACATTCACTAATGGGATGAGGATTTACACTTATCTTTCTTGTCAGAATGTGACTGACCCATTCACCAAAGTTGAAGAAGAGTTGTTTTTTCAGAAATGCAGTGAGTATTTGCTTGGGTTTTGTTTCAGGACTCCCCCCCAAAAAAAAAAAATGCTCGAGTCCCATTATGTACACTGGCATAGAAAATGGGTGTCCCATATAAAAATGACAAGATCAAGATTGGCTTTGTGGATTTTTTTTATTTATTTATTTTTTGCTATTTTCAAGCTTTGGGTGGTTAAAGCTGTGGATACATAATCTATAGATATAGACAGTTGGTGGTACACATAAAATGCATCATAGCTGGCATCATGTTAGTGACATACATGATATCCTCCATATCCTGAAGCAGAATGACTGCAATATCTGCTGAGAATCCCAGTGGATCTGGATGGAACATGCCATTAGTTTGTCTTGTGTTATAGGACATTGGTCTGCCCCCTTCTCTCTGCCAGTGACAGAATGACCATTCATATAACTATTATAGCAAAAAACCATGAGTATCGAGTGGTGATACAGGTGCCATAGCGAGTTGCCCCTGTTCAGCTCCTACACTATGCTGGAAAATGTTGGATCATGGTTATTGATTGTTCAAGTAAGCTTGTACTCAGACCTGTGTGGAATGGGTGGTAATGGTTTTTACCAAACCTTGCTCATAGTGTAGAAATAGTAGAATCAATGCAATTTAAAGGTGCCTTGAATCAGCATGAATAAATCTAGATGTTGATGATGATGCATATCTTGGAGTACTTTGTGACTTATGGCAACCCTATCACAAAGTTTTTCCAATGATATTTGTTCAGAAGATATTTATCTTTGCCTTCCTCTAAGGCTGAGAGAATATGGCCCTATTTACATTGCTGTAAAATTTTGAAACTGCATTACATGGTCAGTGTAGACTTATATAATGCAGCTTAACTGCATTGGACTGCATTATATGCACCATCAAAGATTCAAACTGTATTATATGGAAATACAGATGGGACCTAATGACCAGCTCAAAATTGTCCCTTTGATTTCCCATGCCCAGGGGTGAGAAAGGCGGTATATAAATACTGTAAATAATAAATAAAAAACCTGGGCTCTTGCATTACAGTTCTAACAACCACACCAACATAGAGATGTATTCATCTTCCAGTTTATTCTTCTCTGTGACCTGACAATTTCAAGAAAAAATAATCCCCATATTGCTGCTTAGCTCATTTTGATTTCCACATCCTCCAGCCCTGACAGTGAATATTTAATGTCATGTACCAGAATTGTGCTAGTTAATTAGGCAATCAAACATATGCAAAAGGATTAAGGCACACATCTATATAGCTTGTTTCTGTATATCCAGAAGAGTTCGTGAAGCACTACTTCCTTTATATATTTCCCAACTCCACCCCTTAAATTGAAGCACAGTGTGACATAATGGATGGACTGGCTCACTCTTTAAAGCTTGAGGCAGTGCCAAACTCATTCCCAGGATTTTGATTTTTTTTAGAGGGGAGGCTGACTCTGAGTGAGAGAGGATCTACCCTAGCAAACCTTTTGTATTGTTATCCCAATAACACCAAGCATTTGGGATATATTGAGCATGGTGATCAGATCATGATATGAATAAACATAACAGTTGAAATAATAAACTTTCTTTATTTACTTTAATTAACAAAATATTTAGAATACTTTTTGACTTATTCTTTACTTTACAGCAACAGTTTTCTTTTCTTCTCCCTGACCATTTTGTCAATTACATTTTCTGGTTTGATAGTGATGCCCTGATGGATGGAAATCATTGCGAGTCCACTAAGTCTCTGGTCTGTCATTAAACTTCTAGATACACTCTTCACTCTCTTCAAGGCTGAAAACAATCTTTCCAAACTACATGTCATTAGTGGTAGAGCAGCTAATACAGAGGTGGCATCCTCTTTGGTGCCTGGGCTGTTGTCGCACTCCCCTTCATCTCCTGGCACCAAAGTCTGAAACCAGGGGCACCAAAAAGGAAAGAAAGTGCACCGAGGGCCCAGGCGCGGACAAGGACCCCACCATGCCACAAACCAGTAAGGTCTTCTCACGAACCACCCTGAAAATTTGGGGGGGGGGGGCTGAAGCCCCTCAAGTGCCCCCCCCCCCGGCTACATGCCTGGGCAGTGGGTAATCCTGGCTAGTGTAGGTGTTCTGTAACTTTACAGGAGCTAGGAATTTCATTTGAAAGAATAGATCTTCATTTCAAAGGATGTCATGTAATTTGCCTGAAATGTTGTTTGTCTGGATCAAAAGAGGGTGAGAGAAGTGTATGCATGTTGATATGAACTGTTTTAGAATCTCTCTTTTTCACTTTTTTTTCTTGTCAGGAGCAACTTGAAAACCTGCAAGTCACTTCTGCTGTGAGAGAATTGGCCATCGGCAAAGATGTTGCACAGGGGATGCCCGGATGTTTGATGTTTTACCATCCTTGTGGGAGGCTTCTGTCACGTCCCCGCTTGAGGAGCCAGAGCTGACAGAGGGAGCTCATCCGCTCTCTCCCCTGATTCGAACCTCCTACCTGTTGGTCTTCAGTCCCACTGGCACAAAGGTTTAACCCACTGTACCACTGAGGGCTCCTCTTTTCCACTGAAACTTAGGCATTCCTCATGTGTGCTCTTGTGCAATAATTAGTACAAAGGAAGTGTCTTTTTATGACCTTCTCTTCCTGAAAGCTCTATTTCTCTCTAGCTCTTCTTTCAGCTTAATAAGCAAAAGAGCATGTATTCCTCCTCTTTCTCCTCTTTCCCTCCCAACTAAACACAAGATCATTGGAGATAATTATCAATAGGCCATAAGACACTTGAGGTTTTCCTAATTCAAAGTGTGCATAATTTTCCAGCAGCATGGGAAATCAATTGTTTTGTAAACACCCTTTGGAA